CGATAGCTAGAAGTTCCTTTTCTGTGGTGGCGTAGTTCATTTGCGCAGGGTCTAGGGTTCTACTGGCGTAATAAATCGCATGAAGCTTTTTATCTTTTCTCTGTCCTAGAACTGCACCTACGGCATAATCACTAGCGTCACACATGATTTCAAACAGTAACCTCCAATCAGGTGGTTGCATGATGGGTGCGGTAATGAGAGCTGTTTTTAACTGCTCAAAGGCTTTCTGGCATTTGTTATTGAAAATTAATTCAGCGTCTTTCATCAATAAGCCAGTCAGTGGTTTAGTGATTTTAGAGAAATCCTTAATGAATCGTCGGTAGAAATCGGCGTGTCCTAAGAAACTTTGTATTTCTCTTATGGTTTTGGGAGGTTGAAGGTTTTCTATAATTTCTATTTTTTCTTTATCTACTTCAATCCCCTTATCAGACACTATGTGTCCAAGTATGAATCCTTGTCAGACCATGAAATGACATTTTTTGCAATTTAACACGAGATTTACTTTTATGCATCTTTCAAGTACCATTTCTAGGTTCGATAAGCATCGTTCAAAACTCTGCCCACAAACAAAAAAATCATCCATAAATACTTCCATGATGTCATCTATAAACTCAGTGAAGATTGACATCATGCATCTTTGGAATGTTGCGGGAGCGTTACATAGCCCAAACGACATTCGTTGATAAGCAAATGTACCATAAGGACAAGCGAAGGTTGTCTTTTCTTGGTCATCCAGATGAATAGGGATTTGAAAGAATCCTGAATAACCGTCTAAATAATAGAAATAGGAGTGCTTAGCTAATCGCTCAAGCATTTGATCAATGAAGGGCAAAGGGAAATGATCTTTTCGAGTAGGTTTATTCAATTTCCTATAATCAATGCACATTCTACTTTCGATCACAACTCTTTGTGCTATAGATTTTCCTTTTTTTGTTCTTAACAACTGTAACACCCCCTTTCTTTGGTACGACATGCACTGGGCTAACCCATTGACTGACGGAGATCGGGTATATAATTCCCGCCTCTAACAACTTTTACACTTCTTTCTTGACTATGTCACTCAAAATGGGATTTATCCTTCTTTGATGTTCTCTAGAGGTTTTACAGTCTTCCTCTAGCATATTGTAGCCTAGAGCAGATGGATATTTTCTTAAAACATACAATAGTTTTTCAGTTTCTATTTGTCCTAAGTCTGCGTTGACTATCACTGGTCGTTCAAGCTTGCTGTCAAGGAATTCATACCTTAAATTTTTGGGTAGTGTTTTAAGTTCTAGAGTCGCTTTCTTTGGGCAAGGCATATGATTGGGTGTCAGTTCTAGGCATTCGCTTAGACTGTCGTCTTGGTATTCACCATGCCAATTATCATCTTCAAAAATTGGAGGTATTGGAATTTTTAGGATTTATGAATAAAAAGTTTGTTCCATATCCATTTCTCTTATGCATTCGTCGGTGACATCTAGCAGACAACGTGTATCGTCTATAGCTGGTGCCTGTAAGAATTGTGTCAAAATAAATTCGACTTTCTCTTCACCCACTTTCAAAGTTAGCTTACCTTTCTTTACGTCTATAATGGCTCCGGCTGTAGCTAAGAGTGACCTTCCTAATATGATAGGGGTGTTGGCATCCTTCTTTATGTCCATGATTATGAAATCAGTCGGGATATAGAATTGACCTATACGTACCAGAACGTTTTCTAGTATCCCTATCGGGAACTTAACAGAACGATCGGCTAGTTGTACAGACATCTTAATTGGTCTTAATTCTCACATATCAAGCCTTTTGCATATGGACAAGGGCATTAAGCTAATACTACCTCCTAAGTCACATAGAGCTTTGTCTATGACAAATTTTCCAATTGCACATGATATGGAAAAACTATCTAGGTCTTTCAGCTTGGGAGGCATTTTGATTTGTACTATCGCGCTACACTCAGGAGTAAACATAACGATTTCGATATCCTCGATCTTTTTCTTATTTGATAAGATTTCTTTAAGAAACTTAGCATATGAGGGCATTTGAGTGATAGCTTCTGTAAAAGGTATTGTGATATTCAATTGTTTCAGAAGTTCAACGAATCTCTTGAATTGCCCCATGCTCTTAGATTTAGAAAATCTTTGAGGATATGGAATGGGAGGTTTATAAGGTGGTGGAGGCACATATGGTTCTTCTTTTTCTGCGGCCTCTTGGTCACTACCTTCTTTCTCCTTCATGTTTTGTTCATTTTCCTTCTCAGTTTCCTTTTCAGTTACTTTACCAGGATTTTGATACATAACTGGATTCTTAAGTCTTGGGTCGGTTGGTTCGTCCAATTTCGTACCACTTCGTAGTATGATAGCATTAACATATCCTTTTGGATTAGGTTGCAGCTGTCTAGGAAATGTGCCTGCAGGAGCAGCGGTAGGTGCTTGTTGTTGTGCCACTTGCGAAATTTAGGTATCAAGCATTTTGTTATGAGTGGCTAAAGCGTCTACCTTGCTTGCTAATTGCTTAATTTTGTCACTAGTGTGTATGTTTTAATTCAGGAATTCTTTATTTGTTTGAGCTTGGGTGGCTATGAAGTTTTCCATCATTAATTCAAGGTTAGATTTCCTAGGAGCATTTTGAGCAGCTACGACAGGTTTCTGATATCCTGGTGGTACAACAGGCGCTTGTCCAGGTGCATACAATGCATTGTTGTTTTTGTACGGAAAGTTCAGATGGTTTTTCCAACCTGGGTTATAGATATTTGAGTAAAGGTTTCCTTGAGTATGATTCACTTGGTCTGTGGAAACTCCTATAAAAAGTTGACATTTAAGGGCAGCATGCCCAGGAACTCCGCATAATTCGCAATTTGGAGCTACGACAGTCACGATGGTTGTAGGTGTTATGGTCAAACTTTCAACCTTTTGAGTGAGAACATCTACCTTTGCATTGACTTGGTCAAGACTGCTTATTTCGTACATACCACTTTTTGTTGGAGGTTTCTTCACTGTGGCTCTTTCATTTCCCCACTAATAGTGATTTTGAGCCATACTTTCGATAAGTGTATAGGCCTCATTGTAGGGTTTATCCATTAGTGCGCCACCCGCGGCGGTGTCTATTGTCAATCTTGTGTTGTACAAGAGACCATTATAAAAGGTATGGATGTGGGCAACCATTCTTCTAGACCATGATGTGGGCAAAGCCTCATCTTGTCATTGTATCTTTCCCATGCTTCGAAAAGAGATTCATTGTCTTTCTTTTTGAATCCATTTATTTGGGCTCTTAGCATAGCCTTCTTGCTAGGTGGGAAATATCGTGCTAAGAACACCTTCTTCAACTCGTTCCACGTAGTGACAGATGCGGACGGTAGAGACTGGAGCCAAGCTCTAGCTCTATCTCTCAATGAGAAAGGGAAAAGATGTAGTCTTATTGCTTCGGGGCTGACACCATTTTCTTTCACTATGTCTGCGTATTGCAAGAATACTGACAAATGTAAGTTCGGGTCCTCTGTGGGACTTCAAGAAAATTGGCTTTGTTGTATAGCTGACAACAATGAAGGTTTTAGTTCAAAGGTATTTGCCTCGATGGGGGGAGCAACAATATTGTTATGTGGCTTCTCTTGCAAAGGGATGTCATAATACTTGAGAGGTCGATTCTGAGGATCTTCAGCCATAGGTATTGGTAATTCTGGAAAGGGAATTTTAGATGGTGGAAGGTTATACTTAATTCGGAAAGCGTTAATTCGGCGTCTTAAACTAATAAAACGCTCGATACCGATAATTGGTTGCTAAAGCTTCTCACCTTTAGAGCGAGTGTTTGGCATACAATCGATGACTTAAAATAGGGAAATAGTTGTCTTAGTATATATTGTGCAACACTAAAGTTACGATATCGACTTAATTGGTCCCCGACAACGGCGCCAAAAACTTGATCGCGACCCGACTGTGCACTTGCAGTCGCAAATCATTTAGACATACTAAGTCGCGATCAGTTAAGCATTTTTTAATATATTCAACGCCCTTAAACAAATCTTTGCCGTCCATTTAATGTTTATCAACGCTTATGAATATGCTATTAGTGATCTGCGTGAAACCTAAAAGACACTCGTTATAAAAGCCTGCTGAATATTGAAAATCTAATCTATATGGAAATGAAGCATTTGAAACATAAAAACGTTTGGAAAAGTTCTCTTAGATGGATTGTATGAGCAGAAACTTACTTGGGTTTAAGGTTTGTTTTCTTAAATATTTATTTGAGTACAAAATCATATATTTAAATATTGATTTTATTTATCTAAACCTTATTTTGTTTTGCTTCAGAATCAAATGCATGCAAGATCCGAATAGAATAACCTTGTACCAAACATTTGATCTTCCCCAAGATTCAATAATTCGAAGATCTAAAATCTAGATCTTCAAGAAATTTGATTTTCACCTTGTTCTCTATGGGATTTGATTTTTATTTTAAACAATATAATATTCTGTGTAAACAATGTAATATTCTAGGTAAACAATGTAATAATTTTTTTATAAAAATAAATAAATAATATTATCCCTCAATTTTCAAGATAAACCGAGATGAAAGATATGTTAGTTTTCAAAATAATAAAAATGTTGTTGATGTGGTTCAAATCTATGTGCATTTAAATTTACTTTCGATTTTAATACCATCGAAGTGATAAATGACAAATTTTTAAGTCGTCCTTTATTACCTCACTTCTATTACCGAGATAATATGCATTTCACGTCCAAGATATAAAAAATATTTTTTTAATAATGACTAAATTATCTTAAATGTTTACTAATTCAACATTTGCAAGGTTCCTTTAAGAAAAAAAGCAAACACATGTTTATTATTTTAATAATAAACAACAATTAATGGTGATCCACTATGCAATATTGTACCCGTTGATTCTATTTTGCTTGCTTAAACAAACAACTTGACACTAATAGTTATTCTTGTGCAATTGTCATGGACGGCAACGCACTTAATTGAAAATATATATACACATATCAATTGCATTTCTCCAACAAATTACAATGGAAATGGAATTTCTTTCTAGAGAACTCATTAAACCTTCATCACCAACTCCTTCTCACCTCAGAACCTACCCACTTTCTTTCCTAGACAACTTATGTTTTCACAAGTATGTGCCTGTAATTTTCTTTTACAATCCAAACCAGAATACCAACCAAAATTCTAAAATATCACAACTTCGAAAATCTTTATCTCAAATTCTATCCAAATACTATCATTTTGCTGGCAGTCTGAAAGATAAAATTAGCATCGAATGTAATGATCAAGGTGTGTCATTTCTCGTCGCAAAGACAAAAAACAAACTATCAGATATCCTCCAAAATCCAACAGAAATATTGCTAAACCCTTTGTTCCCGGACGAATTACAATGGAAAGACATGGATTGGACTGCGACTTTAATATTCATTCAAATCAATTGTTTTGCATGTGGAGGAATCGCGATAAGTATTTGCATGACTCACAAACTTGGTGACGCTTCCACTCTTTTCAACTTCATGAATGATTGGGCCATCGTCAACCAAAAAGTAGAACAAGAACAAGAAGAAGGTTTAGGGTTAGGGTTACTTGATGGAGGAGCTTCAATTTTTCCTCAAGGAAACATACCTATTTTCCCAGAAATTGTGCTTGTGAAAGGAAACAACGTGGTGAGTAAAAGGTTTGTGTTTGAAGCCTCAAAGATTAACTCCCTCAAGGAAATGGTAAGAAATTCTGTGGATTTTTCTCCTACACGCGTACAAGTTGTTACTGCATTGATTTACCAGCGTGCAGTTTTAACAAGAGGATTGAATTTCAAGACAGCAACGTTCAACATGGCTGTGAATCTTCGCAAAAGAATGGTTCCTCCGCTGTCCGAAAAGCGCGTAGGGAACATAGCTTGGCTTTCGGGTTTGACAGCAGATAAAGAGAAAATGGAGTTACCGGATTTGGTATTCAAAATCAAAGAAGGGTTATCTGAATTTTGTGATGTTATTCCGGAAAATTTTGGAGGAAAAGAGAAGGACAATTTTTCATTCATTTCTGAGATCTGGGAAAATATTAACGAGACTCTTACTGAGGATAATCATTTGTTTCTATTTAATAGTTGGTGTCGGTTTGGAATTTATGAAGTAAATTTTGGGTGGGGAAAACCAACATGGGTGACCAGTTTTTGTTGCTCTTTGAGGAATCTAATATTTCTGTTGGATACAAAAGATGGAAATGGGATTGAAGCAATTGTGAACTTGGAAGAGAAGAATATGGCTAAGTTTGAGAATGATGTTGAGCTTCTTCAATATGCTTCTTTGAATCCAAGTATTGTTTGACATGATGCATGGCTATATTTTAAGTGTTTGCATAAAGAATTTCAACATGTACTGAACTTCTAGTGTTGAAGTTTGTAAAGTATTTGAAATCTATACATGTAGGATTTGTCTCTGTTTCTCAAAATGTTCTTGTAATTTATTAGGCAAAATTTGTTTAGTAAATTTTCTTTCAAGATCGATATGAGATTCATGGGACTTTGATACATGTGTTCACAACACTGTTTTTCTTTGCGTTTGATTTGTCTTTTCTCTCAATATATTCACTTTTGTTAATTAATTTAGACTAGTTTGAAAAACAATTCATTTATGGTTTATAATACAAATTTTTATCATGATAAACACTTATTTATAAATTTATAGTTGCTAAAAGTATAAATGTGTAACAATCTCTAGTAGATAAGAATTGTCAAAGCCTTTAGGGTTATTGTGATATTGAGAGATACCTCACGTGAGGTGAGAAGATATTGTATCTATGTATTTTCTGTGTTGTTAGTTCGTTCCACCTCATTCTAGGAATGATGTATTTAGAGACTTTTTGGACCTGAGCTAGAGATATAGAGAGTGACTTGCCCAAGCTTCATAACCAAGGATTATCAGGGATTGATGGAGAGTTGATGACTAATATTCTATTTACAAGAAAACTAAACTCTAACTTTCAACTAACATGTTAAATAATTGGTCCAATAGGCCGACACAATTCGACATGCTAACTTAAACAACAAGCTAACATATTTCGATAATTGCACTAACTCTTTGACTTCGAAAGAGTCTGCTACAACACTAGCTTATAACCCATAAGCTATAAGTCACCACCTTGGTACAAACTATGAACCACGAAAACAATTAGTTGACATCATGCAGTCGTAACAGTTGCATGCAGTGGAAACTTACAACTTGGCAATGTCTTGGTGATCATATCAACAACATTGTCATCAGTCAAAACCTTTGACAAATTGGACTTTTCCACGCTTAATCATCTCTCTGACGAAATGTAACCTCACATCAGTGTGCTTGGTTCTTCCATGATAGGCTGAATTCTTCGACAAGTGTATTGCACTTTGACTATCACATTTAATAGTGATTGATTGACCTTGAAGTTTCAGTGAGGGAAATATACTCCGCTTTAGTGGTTGATAAGGCAACAACCTTCTGAAGTGTTGCTTTTCAACTAATTGATGTGCCAAACATAGTGAATACATATCCAGAAATACATTTTCTGGAATCCATACAACTTGCATACTCAGAGTTGACAAATCCTTTGATTTCTACTTTGTTATTATCACCACATGCTCCACTATAAATCAAGACTCTGCTTCGAGACCCATCTATGCACCTTAGGATCCATATTAAGGCTTACCAATGTTCCTTCCCAGTATTGCCCATATACTTGCTTACAAGGCTCATTGCATATCCTATATCTGTTCTCGTACACAACATATCATACATCAAAGGACCTACTATACTAACATATGGAATGCTATTAATATAGGCTTTTCTGACTTCAACATTAGGACTTTGAGTCATACTCAGCTTGAAGTTTGGATTAGCCGGTGTTATATTAGGATTTGAGTTTGACATACAAAATTTATCGATAATCTTTAATAGGTATGTCTCTTGAGATAAGCATAATCTCCTAGTGAAATCTATGTGTGCCATGGACATGTCAAATTTTCTATTCCATTGTCAAGGAGATTGTCTCAGACCATATAACGACCTATTCAACTTGCACACATAATCTTTATTTCCCTTTTCTGCGTACCTTTCAGGTTGTCTCATCAGGATTGTTTCATCTAGATCACCATATAGGAAGGTTATCTTTTCATCCATCTATTCAAGTTCTAAGTCAAAGTTTTCCACCAAGGCTAACAAAGTTCTAAAGTATTTATCCTTCACAATAGGTGAGAACACATCATTGAAGTTAACACCTTCTTTCTGAGTGAAACCTCTAGCAACCAACCTTGCTTTAAATCGCTTTGACATCACTCATTTTATTCCTTCCTTAACCTTGAAAATCCACTTACAGCTGACTAACATGGCCCTTACAGGTTTATCGATAAGCTTCCAAGTGTTATTATCATAAAGAGATTCCATCTCATCATTCATGGATTTCAGCCATTCAATCTTGTTTCGACTTCTCACAACTTCCTTGTAATCTCTAGCTTCTTCATCAAGGACCTTAATTACAGAAATTAAAGCAAAATATATGAGATCTCCATAACCAAATCTCTGAGATGGCTTGATGACTCTTCTCAACTTGTCTCTTTCCAGTAGGTAGTCATTATCAGTGTCCCCAACTTCGTCAGAAACTTGTTTTTGCTCTTTAACTTCATCTGGGTTATGCAATTCAGCATCACTATGCTCCACCTCAACAGAAATCTCTTCATATTCTAGTTCTTCTTCATAGATCTTCGTATTTTGACCAGCGTCATTAGTTTTCTTGAAAAAAATATCACCTTTATTGAAAACTACACCTCAACTTATGATACACCTCATATGACCTGGCTCTAGGCACCACAACCTATAAGCTTTGACTCCTCTAGAGTATCCAAGGAACATACATCTTAGAGCTCTAGGTTCAAACTTGTCTTGTGTATTGTGAACACATGTTACACATACAAATAATCTTAGTTTGTTGTGGTCTGGTGGATAACCTGACCAATCTTCTTCAATCGAGAGACACCTATTTATCAGGTAAGCTGGAGTATGTCTGCCTCAACCTAAAAAACCTTCTTTAATCTCGCATTAACCAACATACACCTTACTTTTTCTAGATAGGTTTGATTAAACCTTTCAGCCAAACCATTTTATTGGGGAGTACATGCAGTAGTTATGTGCTTTGCAATACCAGACGCATCAAAATAGATGTCAAAAGCCTCATTGCAAAATTCAAGACCATTGTCGGTCCTTAACCTCTTGAACTTCCTACCAATTTTTTTCGACCAGAGTCTTCCAACTTTTGAAATTTTCAAAAGTTTCATCCTTAACTTTCTGAATGAATACCAATAACTTTCATGAGTAATCATCAACTATGGATAGAAAATATCTTGCACCTAAGTGTGAAGAATTCCTTACAAGCCCCCAAAGATTAGCATGGATATAATCAAGGGATCCATGTGTTCTTTGTTTACTTTTATCAAACTTCACCCTACAAGATTGACCAAATACACAAGGTTCAGTAAACTCAATTTTTTCAACCTTGTCACCACATAACATTTTTTGTTTCGAAAATTCGACCGTGCCCCTTTCATTGACATGTCCAAGTCTCTTGTTCCATAGCTCAATCTTCGAAATAGGTTGTTTGGATGCTACATCTATTGAACCACTTACAACTTCAGCCTCAAAGGTATATAGGCCTTGTCTCTTAATTCCTCTCAAGACTTCCTTCGACCCCTTCATAGCCCTTAGAATAATTTGCTCTCCTTTGAAAATATATCATATCTTCTCGAATTCACTGAGAAATCAAATTTCTCTTAAGATATGTTACATACCTAACATCAGTTAATAACTTTATTGACTCATCATGGATCTTGAATCTGACAGATCCAATTCCAATGTTATTACAGGATTTGTTATTTCCCAATAACACTGAGCCACCATCTTGATCACATAATTCCTCAAACATGTACTTTTGTGGAGTCATGTGCCAAGTACAACTAGAATTTGTAATCTACTTCTCGCTAGAGTTGCTTTTTGAAACCACCATAACATCAGATAGTTCATAATCATCTTGCACAATGACTTCATTACCATTATCCTTTCCACCATGATTATTCACATCCTCATGGAACACCTTTCTTGTATGTCCCTCCTTCTTATACCTAATTGTAGGAGCATTACCACTATAAAGTATTGTGTAGAACTTTACCTTTCTCCCTCTCATATTTACCATTTTTCTTTGAGAATATTCCTTTAACAAACAAACCTTCTACAACAGATGATGAGTTTTTCTCTTTTATTTCATTCATGTCCTTCCAATACAAGGGTGATTGAACTTCTCTTCCATACAATATGATTTCTTTGAAGTGAGCATGAGATCTTGGTAAAACACACAACAACAACAACGCTTGATCTTCATCATCAATCTTGACCTCGATATTTTTAAGATCAAGAATCAACTTGTTGAACATATCCTACTACTCAGCCAAGACTTTGTCTTCACTTATCTTGAATGAATACAAATCTTACTTTAGGTAGAGACAATTGACAAAGAATTTTTCATATACAAACCCTCAAATTTTCTCTACACATCCACTATTGTCTTCTCCTTTGAGACTTTCTGGAGAACCTTATCACCAAGACTAAGTATGACAGAATTGTGGGATTTATCGATCATCATCGTCTTCTCCTTCTTCGTTAGGGCTTCCAACTTTAAGTGCCACAAACCGAAATCATTCACACTAGTGAATTTCTCAATCTCATACTATATTGACGACATCTTCTCCTTCACGCTCACCCTAATAATTTGTTGTGAAAGCAATTCCTGAAAAATAGCATGATCAGTTTCTTGATCAACAAGAAAACCACAAAGTAAAAGAAAAGAGAGAAGATAAGAGAAAGACAATTCAAAGTGGTATAAAAACTGGATTCTTGATTCAATTACACATTAGGAACAAAGTTTACAATTGAATCTTAACCACACCACTTTCTCCCTCTGATTAGGATTATCATGGCTTGATGGAGAAGTGATGACTAGTATGCTATTAATAAGAAAACTAAACCCTAACTTCCAACTAACATACTAAATAAATGACCCAATTCGACATGCTAACTTAAACAACAAGCTAACATATTTCGACAGCTGCACTAACTCTTTAACTTTGACAAAGCTCTTCGACTTTGACAGAGTTTACTACCACACTAGGTTATAACCAATAAGCTACACGTAGAAAAATAGGATACGGTATTCCTAACCTAGTGTTAAACTATTAGAGCGACATGCGGAAAACTAAACAACGCAAAAGATAAACAACGAAGAAGGCCAACTATGTCAAACTCCAATA